ACCTCAAATATATAGGCCTATACAAAGAAATTAAAATCTCTCTATATAAATAGACATAATCTTGAGTGATGAATTGTTGCGAACTACAGATTTCAATTAACTTACAGGAAGTACACGCATGTAGCCTGGTAATTTGAAAAACAAATGCTTAAACCTCTATATTAGTAGGCCTATGTATAAATAATAATTTATTAAATAAACCAATTTCAATATGATGTTATAAATTCCAGGTTTGAAATTTTGTTAAAAGCTCAAAAAAAAAAAAAAAAAAAAAAAAAAAAAAAACAACAACTAAAGATACCGGTTTATATGCCTACAATAAAAAGAAATACCGTAGTAACCAAAAGATCATGCGAATTGTGCTCCTTTTTTTTAACTTCAAAGAATACGAAAACGTACGAGTGTTTTCTGAAAATGTTTTATTATTACAATAATAAAATACTAATTTTGGGGACAAAAAATCATTTGAAAAGTGTTTTCTATAATACAAATGTAAAGTATGCATCCACTGCACCCAGCTAGACCGCCGCTGTAGCGCGCTGGTATCAAACTGTACGTACCACTTTTGAGAAAGCATGTACCTATGTAAGAAAACTTTGTCCTATTTTACATTCGTCACGTCACTCCACCCCATCTTTCTTCCTTATTGTAAGAAAAACGACAGACAGAGTATACTGTACTGCAAAACGCTATGCCAGCAAGTGGCGTATGAATTCGAAATAGAGGGTGCCCAGGGAGAAACTTTAGCAGAGGGAGAGTCTGTACCACCTCAACCCCTCTGGATGGTTGGCATTACACATTTAGAACCATAGATTTACGAATATCTGAATCAGGGGTCAAAGTAACATTTGAATTATCGTTCTTATCCCTTTTCTTTAAAATAAATTGATCATGGCACGAGGATGACACTCTCAGACCTAAATTGGGTGAGTTTTCTTTTCCCTCGGGCTTGAAATATACTTTTAAATTTAAAATTAATAAACTACATTTTTACTATCTCAAACTCAACTAAATAAACACGCATTTCATTTCATCTAGGCCTATTTTTTGGTACCACTTCCGACGAGCTCTTGCTTGACATGTCAGATGGGAGGTTGGAGGTGGGCTTAAGCCCCCACCCCCCACTGGCGCCGCCACTGAAGTAAAAAATGTTGATATATTATAGCCTATACCTGATTCTTTTTAAATGAGTTATTTTTGAATATTTATCAATTGGGGAGTGGGCGTATACCGTAAATTTCTTGATCCGTATTTTTCTCCACGTTTATTAGTTGTTGTTGCTGATGCTGCTGCGGCTGTTATTGCAGTTGTTTTCATTTATTTTATTTTATTTCAAATCACACCCAACAGCCTCCTAGTTTTGTTATAATATATCCCGTCTCCAGATGATAGGCCTATTGCCAATCCTCCTCTTATTTTGACGAGGCATGCGTGTCTTGACCGATATCTTAAAGGTTTAAGAATAAGCTCTCTTTAAAAAAAAAAGAAGAAGAAACGCACGATATACAATTATTTCATCATGTAGTACAGCAGTAGCATAGTACCTGTAATCCATATGAAAACGCAACAAACAAGAACCTATAGTAAATACTGTTACTGTACCAATTTCATTTATTTTTACTGTTTAACTTTATGGTCTGGTATTATAGTATGGGAAAGCAACAAACTAGAAAAGAAATGTTTGTAAGCCTAAGAATATATATTATTTAATTTTATTCATATTTTTCATATTTTCTTTGTATTTTTCCTGATCACCACAAATGAAACACAACCATGAAAAAAATAATAATTAGTCTAAGATAAACTAATTGACGATAAGCCTAACGATAATCTTATTCCTTGAATGACAAAAAATCATAAATAATAATAATAATAATTTTGTAGGCTTGCTAATTTTGCGTAACATACAAATTATTAACTTGAGCATATAGATTATTGAATTTATTGTAAAAATGTGTAGGCTACCCTAATTTTTAAATAAAATAATTATAATGAAAGTAATATAGGCCTAACACTAGTGACTGGAAGTGGTTATATCATTTTTCGCTAATGATGGTAAACAATTCTTAAATTCAAATTCTAAATTCTATGTTCAAGTTGATAATTGTTATGTTACTTGAAAATAGACAAATTAATTTCGAAAAATTATTTTTATGATTTGTTGGTATTTTTCATGGGACAATACAATTTTGTTAATGAAAACACAAAACGACAATACAATAGAAATGTATGATAAACATAATAATATAGCCTACCCTAGCCCTAATTCATAATTATTATAAAGTTTGTATAAATATGTTTTTAATAAAATACAAGAAAACTAAAACAATAAAAGAAATAATTGGGCAAATTGATTAACTTATTATATAATAGGCCAATACAGTAACCTATTTTCATATTCTATTATGATAAAGGCCTCGATTGTGTTTTATACGCATGCTCACAAAATATGACCTTTCGACAGTTCAACCGGAAATTAGTCAATGACGTAATGCCTAATGTATACTGTATTTTTCAGCGCTAGGCCTCGTAACTGTTCCTTCAAAGAAGGAGAGACATTTCTGCAACATTGATGTTTGTTTGGCTTTTTACCAGATAGTATATGCTACATTATAAAGGATTAGGTATGTTTAGTTCGTTGCATTAGACATTGAATTATGAGACTTCAAGATTTTCAGTGAAAAAACCATGTAATTGTAATGATTTTGTCTGGACAATCCCAGTTTCCCTCTCTCAGACTCTCTCACTGCTTCGTTCCAAGTCTCACTCAAGCAGACTTTTGCTTGTCGGTCACCTGCAGATGGGACACTGATTAGGCCTAGCCGACTGCTGATAAAATAGAGAATCGCTCTAGCCTAGCTAGGCCTAGAGCTATGGATGGTGGTTGTCATTTTATTCTCAGCTAAGGTCGATATTAGAGTATTTTGTACCATATTTTGCACTGCATTTGGTGTTATACTGAATGAAAAAAAAATGAAAATGTTCCAGCCAGGCTCTCATGATAAATAATTAATGATTTTGAATTGCATTGAAGTTTTCATTGACATTTTTTCTACTAGGCTAGGCCTAGGAGGAGGCTAGGCCTATCTACGTAGGCCCTAGCCTAGGCTAGGGCTACGCCTAGACGATAAGGCCTAGTAGGCTAGGTGGTTAGCCTTATTATCTTGCTCTGTTTTGTACAGACACTCCAACCTCCGACTCTTCTTAATTAAGAAGCGGGCCACAGCGGTCTAAAGAAGGGGACATGACATTTAATTAAAAGTGAGAAACAACTTATGAGGCTGGGGCTGGGAGAGAATGCCATTTGTTTCGGCCTTGAACGAGTTTGTTCGGCCACAATGTTGTATTTATCGTCCAGAAAATGTAGATCTAAATGAAGTGTTTTTTTACCAGCGAGAATCTGTATCAAGTAACAGTGTGCCATACCATTTTTAAAGGATTGAACCTAAAATTTTGACTTTGCAAGAATAAGTTATACATGTATGGAGAAATTCATATAAAAAAAACAGTATCAATAATATTCTACGTATGTGAGAGTTTTTTTTTTCATCATTTTCTTATTGTGTGTTTAAAAGCCATCGACTGCAAGTAATAAAGTCCTAGGCATGGGTGATTCCCACGATGAACCTGTTCTTAGTGTTTCTTGATGTTTGCAAGCTACTGTAATCATGGAACCAAGACTGATTTTTACCATGTTATTGGGGAGACCATATCCTTCTGTTTCCTGCAGATCATATTCAATTATAATAAATACTAACTTGCCACTTGAAATGTATTTGATTGATTGATTGATTGATTGAATTTATTTGTAATCAGAGTCATGAAATACATACAAACATAATAAACAAAAAAACAGACAAGATAAAAATGCACAAAACATGACCCTAATTATAAGGAAGAGCCCAAAAAAGTAAAACTTATTTCCATTGGGGTTCACAGAAATATAATTGCACTTTTTATCATGCTGAAAAGGCAGTTAAAAAGACATAAAATGAATAAGAACAGGTGAAAAGGCAGCAAAAAAGAGATAAAACATTTAATTTGTGGGGATACAAAAACTAATTCCAACTTCCACAAAAAAATAGATGCACAAAATCCAATACTTTTGTTGTATATCAAGGCCTCAATTTTCAGCAAATATGCACGGAAATACAGCTCATACTTTAGATATATCAGGGACGGATTTTTATACCTAGTATTTTCGCGGGCAATATTTTACAGCCTGGCTTATCTTCATTCTAATTATTGAAAAATAATAAAATTGGTTACCTTTTAAAAAATGTAAGACACTGTTTATATAACTTTAGTGCATGGTGCGAGAGGACGAATTCTCTTTCTAATATAGTACTAGAATCTCTGAGACTCTACAACATTTTTGAGATGGAAAACGATCCATTCATATAGGCCCTAGACCACTGGTAGGCAAAGTGCAGGCTGCATGCAGCCCGATAGTAATTTTTTTTGTGACCCCTGAAAATGAATTAAAAATCCTATGTGTGCGACCCGCCAAATATTTTTGACTGGAAAACGCCTTGTTTTTTACGCCCTGACAATGATCATCAGTAAAGAGTAATGTTAAAGCTGCGAATAAAGTGGTATAACAGTTCATTAAGGTTTTTGGAAGCACACTGTAAACATCAAAGTTTGGGTGCGGCTCTCTGTGTTAAATCAAAAATTCACTTTGGCCGTCTAACCGATTTTTATGCCCACCCCTGCCCTAAACCCTCAATTTTGTAGGGTTTGAAGGCTTAAATTAAAATACGGTATGCACTATAAATTCATATTCAATCTTTACCACAAAAAATAAATTTTATTAAGTACATTCTTCTTTTTAAATTGGGAGGCATGATTTAATCAGAACCTGTAAAAAAAATCAAGAATCCCTTGTTAAATCGGGAGCATTGATGACTCTAAATTTTGTACAGTATGTAAAGGCCTTTGATAACAGAGTTACTCTACACATGGCATGTTCCAGTCATCACATGTTATCGCAATATGTTTGAGTCTTGTTGCCAGAAATAATATCAAGGCTATGCCACTACAAATTTGTGTAACTACTGTATTTTACTAGAGTGGTAAACCAAATACCTGTACCATAAAACCTTGAATAGAAGTCCCATGAGCTTAGTCTCGAAAAGAAGCCCACCTCTTTTTTCGCAAAACTTAGAAAAAAGCCCATGGCTTCTAATCAAGATATGGGGCTTCTTTTGATAACTTACATTCAGACTTATGTTACCTTTAATGGTTATTATAACCTGTCAGAATAAATAGTATTTTATTTCAAATTTTGAAATCCATAGTTGAAAATTGTCGTATTTTATAGCAATTCGAAAAGTTACAGCATTCACTTTGAAAAGAAGCCCCCTTTTTAGTTTGCAAAAGTCATCTCGAAAAGAAACCACCTAAAAAAAATCTGATCCCAGGGTCCTAAGAAAAGGAAGCAACCTAAAGGGCTTCTATTTGAGGTTTTACGGTACGACAACCTATTCACATTGACTATCAGTCACCGATCAATAAAGATGAATATTTCATTGAGACCACATTGCTGTATGTCAGTAATTTTCAGTTACAGTTAATACACTATGTGTACAATAATAATTTGACTGTTAATTGCAAAAAGCTGTCTCCAGACACACCCATAAATATAATGGCTGTTACTAAAATCTCAGAAAAAAACAGCAAGATTTTTTTGTGGAAAAAATTCTTGTTTACACATTCTTCAGAATTGACTATCAATGTATTGAAATTTGCTCTGTGCATGACAGCTCAGAAAGTGCGAAAAATTAGGAATTTTTAATGTATTTTGTAAATAAACCCATTTTAATAGATGGTCTTGATTTTTCAAACATTATAATATTAAAGTAATTATGAAGCTCAAGGTACTGTACATGTTGCCTCACCTTTACTATATGGTGTAGAAAAACAATGCACTTCGCAATTTATGGCAGATAAAATTGATGGTTAATTTATACTTTGTTGGAATAGGCAAGATGACATGAACAGATAATGGTTTTATTTTGACAATTTCAACAAGGAGTTAGTACATTTTTGATGTTGAATTTCCATTTTTCATGAAAAGTATATGACAAAATCTAATTTATGATAACTACTGTATGTTTAAAATTGCTGTTTCATGCAAAAGCTGAGACATGTCTAATGTTTAATGTGTTTCTGCCTCATCTTTTTCTAGATGCTATGTTGACCTTATCACTGATGTTACATGCTTAACACTGAAGTATTAACATAAACTGTGAACAAAGCCAGCAGAGCATGACGGTCGCTATGCGTGGAAATCCTCCAGGAGGGGGCGAGGCTAGCACTGATGGTCAGCCTGGGGGTGATAGTGTACAGAGTTCTAATCAGACCCCACCAGCTCAGCCTCAGGAGCAGCAGGTATTATTTCTAGATCATTACTGTTGCTTTAATTATCACCATCCTCAGTGCAACATTGTCAGCATTATCCACATTGTCATCGTCCAATTCATATTGCAAATATTCAGATAGGCATATGGACAACACATAGTTAAAATTTTTACGTTTTTAAGTTAAAGCACTGCTCCTGTAATCACCTTTTTCAAGTAAGGACACTGAATATATAATACACAGTATATAATAATATACAGTATATAAATTAAATATACAGACTATTGGCTAGCCACACAATAGCGATGTTGTAAACATCAACAACAATATGGTGAAATTTGAAAGTACTGTATGAAAGAACAGTAAATAAATTACTAATTAAGGTCAAATAAGGTGAATAGGCAATATTTAATTTATTTTTTTTTTATTCAAATTCTGTTCACAACATAGAATAGAGAATAGTAAGCAAGGTGGATGAAATGAGGTAAAAGTACACGTATACTAGTTCAACCATATATATATTGAGGAATCCCAAGACTTAAATCCCAGAGTAAAAAAATTGTATGCCTCTGACATTATAAATTTTTACTTAAAAGAAACATAATAAGGATCCCATTGAATATCAGTGGTTTATAAAGCCTAGCTCCAGAGGAGAAAAAAATTGATGCATTGTACAACTGATGTTTATAAGACACTAAAAGAATATTTGACAAAAAACTTGGGAGCGGTTAATAAGATACAGATTTTAGAATATTTAAAATCTGAGGAAAAGGGGGACGTAACCAGCCTTTTTCCACTTTTTTTTCCCCATTTTTTTAAATATTCAAAAATCTGTATCTCATTAACCTCTTTTTTTTAATTCATTAATTTTTGCTCAAGTTAATAATTTGTGTATTACAGTATGGCAAAATGAGCAAGTTAATTTCACAATTATTATTTATGATTTTTTAAAATTATTTTCAGTGGGCAATACGTTTATAAAATTTTTTATGCTGAATTTTTGAATTTGATCATGAGCATCTTCTTAACTATACAGCTTTACTTCGATCATTAATTGCTGGTTAAGATGAGTTGGGTTGAAATTATGCTAAAAACTATGCTCCAAAGCATCATAATCACGTACCAGTTGTGATCAATAGAAACAGGCAGATCTGCAGAGACTAGTGTGAACTAAATGTATGGCTCACACTAGGCTCGTAGTGCACTTTGCGATGGCATAAATTACATAGCCTATTCTATCCAATAAATGATGAGTCTCTTGCTGTTGAAAAATGAAAAAAAAACCCTACTGTATATGCACTTTAATTTATGATTTAGGTTTGTCGGTAATGCATGTGATATTTTTTGGTCCAGTACTGTACAGTAAGTAATGACTGTAATAATTAAGTAATAATAATAATAATGTAAGTAATAATTTATTTATTAGAAAATACATTTTCTTTAAAACCTGATACTGTCATGAACATTGTCATTGTCAAGTTCATCATCAAAATCAAACATTGCAAAAAGTCAGGTAAAAGTAGGTGTTATGTCAGGTATTGTCGGTAATGCATGTGATGTCCTCTTTAATAGTCCAATCATTGATAATAGGAAGCCTTTGATTTGTGCGACGACGCGACGCTAGAACAGAATCCCTCATGCGCGACCGTCTTACCTGGCGTCCTATGTTCTCTGCATACGTAGATTTGGCCAAATTGCGTTCCAAAATCTACTCGACGAGGTCACCTTAACGTTCTCGCTTGCGCAGATGACTTTTAGTGATGTCATTACGTTCTACGTCCTACCGTCGTCGTGCAATCGAAAGCTCCCTATAAATCACTATAAATGACTGTTGTACATTTATTTATTCAAAATTTCCTTTTCTTTAAAAACTGATATAATGAACATTGTCATTTTCAAGATTATCAGAATCAACTATAACTTAAATATGCAATTTAAATTTATTCACCATTTATCTTGGCACAGACACATCACAAACAACGGTATATTGATTAAGAACATAAAGAAAATGCAAAAAATAGTATAAATGTGAGAGGAATGCGAAAAGTGATATCATAAACATAATGTCCATGATCTTCAACCTACTGATAGCAGACTGCCATCTAACTGCCGTGAAATGACATTGATCTGTCTATCATGGCACAATGGGATCTTAAGTCACTGCATTCAGATGCACAACCAGTATCTCCATGATGTCTTGTCTAGTGCTTATTCTACATAACTCTATACCATTATACTTGGAGTTACGTTTTTGACATTCTAGGCCGCTGGTTCTGGTGAAGGTCTCCCAGAGGAGAATAATGAACTACCAGAAGGTGAGGAACCTCCGTTTCCTCATGATGAACTTGCCCGTCTTGATGACATGATCAACAAACCAAGGTGGGTTGTTCCTGTACTTCCAAAAGGTGAACTGGAGATCTTGTTAGATGCTGCTACAGACCTGTGCCGGAGGAACCTAGATGGACGCAGTGAAGCCTGCCAAAGGTTCTTTCGAGATGGTCTAACGATTTCATTTACAAAGATCTTGACTGATGAAGCTGTCAGTGGCTGGAAATTTGAGATTCAGGTAAATCTTGTTTATAAATTTTCATTTCATTTATTTTCAGTTTACATAATGGAAAATAGTTAAGGACAGCTAAAAAAATAGAATTGTGTCTAAGTTTTACATGGATTTGCTTTCACACTACACAAACTTGGTTACAACTTTTTACTAGTACTATTTGCAAAATGGTGACAGTGTTAAAATGCTATTAGAAAGAAATAGACACATAGTTTTGTACACAAATTATTAACCAAATTTAATTAACAAAAATTTAGGGTTGATAATGTACAGTACTCTGTATTGCTGGTACTTGCCTGGTATTTTAACATTTTTTGTACCTTATCTTAGTATTCAGTAAACCTTTCCGCTAAGCCCTGCCTTTTGCCAAGGTTCTACAAAATGACACTGTTAAAATATGCGCTGATTGGTCAATTGTTAAGCTTGATTGACACTTCAGAAAGGTCTATTTTATAAAACTTTGTTGCTTTTGTGGATATGAAATGTGTTATATTTTAATGCACTTTCACCGGCAGTAGTGTGCAATGGTTAAAAAAGTGTTGTGTCCAGGTAAATTACTGTACCTAGGATCTACCAAAGAACTACCAAAGAACTTGCATAGCAGAAGAATTAGTTCTTCCACGTATTTGCATTACAATTGATGGAACATCCGCCCTGCCGTGAGCGGGTAAAATTTGACCATTTGATTGAGCGGCGAAACTACAGAAAACAAACGAACCTGAGTGGTGCCTTTATTATTGATATATAGTGCCACCGTGAAGCTGCTCTGTCTTCCGCTATTTATTATTTTTGGATCTACTAAATGCACATAAATCTGGTTTGTGGAGAACACTAGAAAAATATGTTTTCCATGCAGTGCTAGAGAAATTTTAATATTTGAAGACACCATATTTTTTCTCCATTGGTTAACAATAATTATGATTGCTACATATACAGCGTTGCATCATGAAGAACACGGAGCGTCTAATCGAACTGTGCGTGGCCAAACTGGCAGATGATTGGTTCCCTTTGCTAGACCTCTTGGCTATAGCCTTGAATCCATTATGCAAGTAAGTTAACACCTTATCACATGCTTTTGACCCTTACAATATTACACCATTAATCAATACAACTTAAAAAATGGATTAAAGATGGCCGCATTTCTGTTCCATCCATCTGTTCCATTTATACTTCATGAAATAACATAGTGCTAAAAACAATTTCTCCTGCTGTTGATGTTTTTGCTCGGGGAGCGCATGAATTTGCAGCTTGTGTTGGTAGCCCACAGACAAATATACTGTCTGTTCTTAGAAACGATTTTTTGTTATAAATTATCTGCATGATTGAATTTACATTTATATTCGAAAGTAAATTTTCTTTTAATGTAGTGCAATGTATTCAGATTTATATAGATATAATAAAAATACTATTAATGTCACACATATGCAGGACTAGTACTACAATTCTACAATGTTTGAATAAAAGTTCCTCTGTGGAGATACAAGGGCTTATATGCTATCTAGGGCTTGTTTGTTATCTCTAGTGTGACCTTGCTTTATCTATATCTGCTAATTAACAGCAATTAAAGTGTAGTTTACTCTAGATAAGGTGTTTATGATCAATTAAGTCATTAATCCTTGAGATAAGTCCTCTAGGGAGAATGTTATTTTAGGCTGTTATAAACACAAGATTGTTTTTTGGTCCAAAGTGCTCTATTCTTGTTTTGCCAACTGGTTTTACGACAGTTTTTTTTCCAACGGGTATCTTGTGAAAAAAGAGTAATAATAATCATCTACTTTCTGTAATAAGATCTCTAAGGAAAAGTATCTCAAAATTAAAACATTAATTTACTCCAACAATACAAACTCAGTATCAAATGATTTACAGACTTTTTACTACAACAATGAAATTAATCATTATCCCATTTACAGGCTTATGCAAAATATAACACGGCATGTGTTAATGGGAAACATAATTTTAAATTTTTGAATACTTTCAATTGAAAACTTATAACTTTATAACAATTAAAGTTTGAGTTGAAGTTTCTCGGTTTTTAGATGGAGTGACACTTAACTTTAAAATAGAAGATTGAAGAATAAGTTTGGAGCAGTATTAATCATAAAAATGCTTGTGAACATTGCATGAACGCATTCAGATTCTTTATATTCCGTTTTTGGTTTGGCCAAAGAGTACAGAATTGCACGCAGGAAAACGTTAAAAAATGTACTACCACGAGAGGGGGCGCCGTTTACCTGCTTTTGAAGGACGCCCTATAGTTTGAGTGTCGGCCCTCTTGAAATTCTATACTCTTTGGTTTGGCGAATCAAACAGAATTTGGCTAATCATGTTCATTCCAAATTTGCTAAAAATAATGTTTTGCCAGAACCCTGAGTAATATCAAATTTATAAGGCATTAGTTTCATTGTGTAATTTGCAGGTCACTGTGCCACGTTCAATTGAAAAGATTTTTTTGTTATTGAAAATATATAATGTAAATGAATATCTTGTTTGTCTTTCTGTAGGTTTCACATATATAATGGTAACAGAGCAGCTGACAGTGTTTCTTCAGGTGCTCAGGTAAACACTTCTTCGTTTCAGTTTCGACTGCAAAGTCTCCTAATGCATTTTATTGGCATTTATTGTTATATTAATCAAGTAAATTATGACATTAAATTCCTAATGATATGGTATTTGTTAGAGTACCTACCTGTACTCTTATGTTGTAAAGCATTTATATTACTATCTTGTGTTTTTTTGTTGTTTTTTTTTTTTTGGTATGCTTTATAAAAATTTATAAGGTACTGTTAACTAGTACAGTGTGTACTTATTTTTTATCGTAAACTATCAAGCCCAACTCAGACACGCCATACTGTACGATGCAGCACGACGATCTGTATGAGTTAAACACAGAGGCGATGATCTGTATTGGGACAGTCGCTTTGTAGAACATTAAACATTTTTAATATTCTCATGATTGCTTAAAACTGTTCTCCAACGATGAATCGCATTAAGCTGCGTTGTACGACACTGTCTAAGTTGGTCTTTATGCGAAGATGGATAGATTTCTTCTTGAGAAAAAAAGATCATATTGAAGTAAATTTTTAGAGTGTATTATTGAAATAGTGACATTCACAAATTAACCATACTTTGTGATGTCACTTTTAGGCATTAATTAAAGCACTAAAACATTTTCATACTTAATTTCTTTTAATATTATCTTCATTTTTATATTGCTATTTTTTAAACAGATGAATAACAATGACCTTTATGCCAGGCCACCGGACTCAAGAACTCCAAAGGTAGTTATTGATCACGTGACATTGATCATGTAACATCAATCCCACTTAATAGATCATAATGGTTTTAATATCTAATAATGTGACATTAGTCAAGATATAATTGGTCATTATGATATTAATCATGTGATTTGATATCCACCATGTAACATTGATCATGAAACGTGGTATTCTTTCAACTAATCTAGCAGTGTGGGAATAGGTGATATATTGGTTGTGGTGCTTCTCTCCACCTAGGAGTATAAATGGGTACCTGTTGGGGTTGCCTGCTCCTGCGCTGATTATCAGCAGCAACACTTAAAGCATGTGGACCCAATGACCAGGGAAAAGTACTGCGCTTTATAACCTCAAGGAAGAGGTGCATTATAAATGCCTATACCAGTACCAGTGGAGCTCATAACCTTGAGGTCGGGGTCAAACTTTCACTAAGAATTTTGCTTGTGATTTTTTGGCAAGGCAATTTACCTACTTTTGTCTCTTTCCACCCGGGAGTAATATGCGGGTATGTGGGTAGGATGTTTTTGAATTGACAGTAATATTGCGCATTAAATTGCAAATACGACTAGGTATGCTCTTTTGGGAGTGGAGAAGTTGCTCATAATGTTAATTTGCCAATATATGGATTCATTCA